TCCAACTTGTCGTTTGTCAAGTTTTACTGTTTAAGAACACTCATTTTTGTCAATAGTCATGTGCTATATCTGTACAATATAGAATTTTTTTTTTCTATAAATAAAAAAATTTTAGATTTAATTTAGCTTATAATAATTTTAGATTTGTTGTCGCGTGTCTAAATGAAAAAAGATACAAACACTAATTGGGAGATGAAAAACAGTGGACTTCTAGAAGTGATGTGACCACTTTTCCTAGGATTGGAGATTGACTACTAGGATCAAATGTTTCTAAATTTAATTTCAAAATTTAACTTTTAACCATTTTTTTGCCAACAATTTTCAACCAAATTATTTAATCTTTTTAACATTTGTTAATGTTGATTCTAACTCGACTTTCAAGCACTCATTCCTGCATGACGAAATTTGTATACTTCCAGACATGTATCATGGAATACTTCTTTTTTATTTATTTATTTATTTATAATACACCTTTCTGAAAGTTAAAAAAAAGAATACATTTTTTTTATCTTATTTATAAATTATACCATTAAAATTTTCATATTAATGCCTAATATCATTAAAATATAGAGTTTGTATATTTTATTAGATAAGGCTATGATTAAAAAATTACTAAATTTTTTTAAATTCTAGTCAAATATGTTAGAAATATCTTATAAATAGGACTAGATGAGTATGTTTCGTTATTATTTCATATAAGTAAAATCATTAATTGATAATATGAATTAAGCATTTCATAAATTTCAAAATTTGTTAGTTATTCTTGTATAATATTTTACATAATATTATCTTTTACAGAAATTAAAAAAAGAAACCGTATGACCAAATCTCACCTTAACCACCCCAATCTAAAACAGTCATCAATGGCAAGAACTTTAGGGTGATTGGCCACAAAAGCTTCCATGGGGATTGGTAGCTGAAATTACTTTTTTACGTGATATAATATTTAAGTTCTTTCACAATAATATTTAATTCTGAAAATCATGCCATTTTACCAGATTATTTCAAAACTAACTCTTCAATTAGTTCCTATAATTTAAAGTTGGACAAATTCATGTACCGTATGAAAAAATTTATTCCATCACAAACGTCACTGGTTGAATGTTACTGTGTTTTACAGCAACAAACAAACAAACCATTTCTGGAAGAAGAATAATAAAAATTGTTATTATATGAATAAGTATGTGGCACGCCATCCTTTGCGTGAAAGTTGTTCCAAAAATAATGGATAATATATACTACAAATGATTAAAAATTATTTTTTATTAATATCTTATAAGAAAAATAAAAAAAAGCAATTGTATCTTCAAATTCAACCGGAAAACATCGTCGTTGATGAAAAACCCAAGGAGTCCTAACATTTCCTATCTTCCACGCAAAGGATGACGTCACAGAAATTGTTGTTTTGTTTGTTACAATTTCTCGCGCAAAAATAAGGCAGAAGTTAATATTACATAAATAATGCATTAATTTTTAAATATACTGATTGGCGTAAAATTATTATTTGAGATTGAGACCAATAGTATAAGAATTAAAGAACTAACATTACTTTAAAAAATTTGAGTCCAAAAAAAAATACTTTAAAAAAATTAAGAAATCAATATCAAACCTTATGACAAATTAGAAATTAAATGGACAATTTCCCTAAATATTAATGATGGTGTACTAACATGCTCTTCATTTTTTTCCCCATCCGTTTATAAAACTATCTACTCATAATATATTTATTTAATTTTACTAATATGAATTTTATTTTTTAGTAGCAATTAATTTTTACTAATTTCAACCTCGGATTGAAAACAAGTTATTTTCAATTTCAACCGTTCAGATATCTTTCTAGAAAGAAGTAAAAGACTGAGTGGAGCCCAAAATGAGACACACGTGAAACGAGACTTTTCTCTTTAATTTTTAATTTAATATTTATATAATTTTTTTAATTAAAAACTAAGCATACCCTATTAGCACTTTATTTTATTAGTACTATTAGCCTTATGCAAAAACTAATTATGCTAACAGAGGCCAAAATTATAGTGTTTAATTAGGAGATAAAGATACATAAGTACTAAATTAAAAATTGATCAAAATTATAGGTACTGTAAAATGATTTTCTTAAAACAGAAATCTAAGGTTGAAACCATAAAAGATGATGAAAAGTAATAGTATTTTTATCCATTTTTTATAGTCATGTTAAGATTGTTAAAGTTTTGAATTTTTAAAGACTGAGAAAATCATTTTTTCAGTACTTACTTTTTATTAATTTTTAATTTGATATTTATGTGTTTTTTTTAACTAAATACTTTATTTTTTTAACGCATTGTTAGCCCACTTACATGAGTTAACTTTGCTAACAAAACAAAGTTAAAATATTTTGTTACCAAGAGCTAACAGTACTAACAGAATAAAGTTAAAGTATTTAGTTACGAGAAAAAGTATAGGTTCTAAATTAAAAATTTAAAAAAAGAGGTATTTACAGATTGGTTGGTTTTATGGGATTATTTTGAATATAAGTTTAACTATCAGTTTAGACACTAATTAAGTACCTCTGAATTTTCCCTTTAATTTTAAGTTAATTTTAACATTATCAAATGAAAATTGGACAAGCCACTAAAGCATGGTTTTGTAAAGTTTTTGATAATGTCGTTTGGCAGCATAAGGAAAGGTAATTCACCTTCCCTTCCGTCCTCTTGACACATTTGGTAGGCGGCATCGCTTTTCTTATATAGAAGCTTTGTTCCAACATGCAAGGGAAACTGGAATCCCTTTTCCTTTCCCTCCGGCATGTGTGACATTATTATAATATGTATGTATTTCATTTTCACATATATAACACTTTCTCCTAGCTGGTAAAAAAAAAAAACTTTCTCCTATGCTTAATATAATGATATTTAACTAATTTAAATATATGAAAAAAGTTATTATCTCTGATCATTAATATAAAATTCAGTTGACTAATTTGTATAGATTAATAATATTAATAAATTATTTTAAATTATTATACTTACTATTTTTTTCAAACTAATTTGTCTGACTTATAAACTAATATATAATATAATGATACACATAAATATTTCAAAAAAATCATGTGACATATGTTATAATTAAATAATTTTTTAGTTTCTTTAATTTTTTCAATTTAGTTAGCTAGCTCTTATATTAAGAATATGAGTAATAGTTAATTATTACAAATATGAGCTTATTCTTTCTAAAATACCCTTATAGAACATTAAACTATATATTAATTTATAAGTTAAGTAAATTAATTTTAAAAATAATAAATATAAGAGATAAAGTGGATCGATATATTATATTTATGATCAAATCTAAACCCATATTAGCTTCTCTGTTAGGGCGTAGTATGTTATATATATATATATATATATATATATATATAAAAGCTATTTAAACCACTTGTTATTTAAAATTTTTTTGGGTAGAGTTTTATCTAAATTTAAACGCACAATATTTTGCCAGGGAAAAAACATAAAGGAGGGCCAGAGATCTAGAGTATATCACATATGAACAATAATAAATATATACATTAAATTCACATTAGAGTCGCTTTTATAACGAGTTGAACTGGTTATTCTAATATCTACATTAATTGCTACCTCCGGTCCTTAATATAAGACCCAATTTGATTCATTGATCAAATTAATACCCTTTCATTGACATCAACTAGATGTGACCCTCATGAGAACGAGCCATACTGCCAGTACTATTGGATAATTACATTAGAGCTTTTATATTGGGAAAAATGATATTTAATTGTGTACTTCACAAAAGTATTTTTTTTTAGTAGGATAGTATCGCTGCCTCAGGATATCTCAACACAACCGGCCAGACTAATCTCAGGTGCACTCGCAGGTATCAAACCCATGACATGGTAGGAAAGGCGCCTTGCGTTCCCGTTTGCGACCAGTCGAACCCGACCCTTGCAGGCATATTGACATGTTAATTTTAATTTTTAAAAATAATGTGGATATTTTAATACAATTTTTGTAGCTTTTCCCCCTTTTTATGGGGTGGTTACAATTTTCTCAATTATAGGCATTAGATTTTATACTTATATTTTGTTACTTACTCCTCGGGTCCTAGTTGACATATAAGCTGTCATAGGTGGGAAAAATAAAAATATAAGTTGTCATAAAGTACAAAATAAAAAAAATAAAAAATAAAAAGATAGAATAAGATTTAATAAAAAATTATTATGCTTGTAATTGTCTCATAGTATCTAAATATAATCTGTAATTTGATTACTTTTAATTTTATTTAGATTCATGTGACAAAATTAATCCAGAAGCAGGTCGAGTGAAAGTCACACCATCATCTACTAATATTGTTTTTTTTAGCAAAATAATAAATGATGACTATAGGGACCAATATTTATAAATATAACCCAAATGTTATTTTCTCTTTTATATTATTTCAAATAACTTAAGTCGATTTTGAATTGACGTTCAGTAATTAATGGGAGAAAAATCCAGGAAGCAAGCATGCGAAAACAGAAACTGCTTGGTTTTGCTTTAACAGGACAAAACGTTGGCCTAAGAAAGCGACACTAGAAGTTCCTAGTTTTTATTTAATTTTTTTACCATTTAATCAATTATTAATTTGGTTGTTGTCCTTCAATCAATTACGAGTATTAATCAATTAGTAATCATCAATTGGCTCTGTTTAAGAGTATAACTCGTCACCTTCACTCCTTCTGGCTTTTACCGAGTCTTCCATGTTTATCCCAAATCTTATGCGGCATCATCCTGGATCTCATCCTCTTAAGGTTATTGGAAATCACCATTTTACCCCAAAAAAAAAATCAAGGTACTTTGTTATATTTTATTTAATGTTAATGTTTAAAAATATTTACTAATTAAATAAAATGCGCTTTATTGATATATTAACGAAAATGTTATGTCTCCTGGACAGAGTACATTACAATTAATCTAAATTCTAAATGTTCGTCTGATTCACTGGCTCTTGGTGGCATGAGTCCAAACTCAAAATTTGAAGAAAAGCTAGAACTTCATTTAACTAGAAAACACTATCAACAACAAAATTAAAAATTAAAAATAAAGTAAAAAATAAAAATAAAGAAAAAAGAAAAAAGAACCCATCTCAAAAGGTTCAAGAAAAAATTCTATACATCATAGTTCAAAAAGGAAAATATCCTATACAGAAAAGCACTATTCCAGAACAGAATATATAATTAACTTATATATATATATTGCTAGATTAACTTATATATACAAATAAATAGCTAATTGTAAGCTTCATTAAAGGATCCACTCCTCTGCCGGCGGACTCGAGCCGCCCATAACTGACTTCTATCGCCATGCCTCTTATTAGTAGTTCTGTTCTGCAGCTGTGCGAGCTGAGCCTGCCATTGAGATCTCCATTCTTTCTTCCGTTCAGCCATCTGGTAAAGCAATAATAATTCAGATTAGCTTTTGATGATGATGGTGATGAAAAGAAGGATTCATTCAGATCAACATCATCATTAAAAGAACAAAAAAACACAGGAATTTTTTTATCTACCCCACATGATTAGTCTTTTCTTTCTGCGTATGAAACTGCTAAAAAATGCAGAGACTTTCTGATTGCAGGGAAAAGTCATATTAGGATTTTCCTGGAAAAGGAAGTCCAAAACACAGATTGATATTTCATGAGGAGCTGTTGTTTTGAGATTCGGATTTATGAACTGTAAAGACCACTACTTATTGACTATTGACTTTGTGAATCATGCCAAGTACAATCAATTAAGGAAATAAAGTAATTGATGCTTTGAGTAAACATATGAACAAGCCTTCATGACCATACGAGAGAACTTAAATTTCTCAACCGACCAAGAAAAATCTCAAATGGACAAACAGTTAAAACAAGAAGAAATTAATAAAATGTTGACTGATAAAGAAACAGACAAGGCATCAGAACAAAATTTCAACAATCAAAGGCAGGAAACTGAGGATATAAGAAGACGCCTCAGGATGAAACTAAGAACAATCCTGAACATGAAAAGATAAACAAAAGATATTTAAGTACAATTTGAGATAGCAATATCTTAATTCAAACGCACGCAATGAGCCATAGATTCAAGAAGAAATCCATTCACGGGAAATCATCAATTTCTCTTGAAAAAGCACCAAACAGGACACCCATGCAACAGACAAGAAGAAGAAGATATTCGTAGCTTCAATGTGATCTGAATTCGCAGATCTTAAATCATAAGAGGAAAAAAAAACTCACGGAAAATCAAATTGCAAAAACCAGAAACTGAGAATCAAGCACAAAAGTACCGCATGGTCGTAGTAGCTTCCGCCTGAGTGAAGCCCCATGGAACTGTCGTACAGAGCTCTCCGTGAAGGATCCGACAAGGTCTCATAGGCTTCATGGATTCGAACGAACATCTTGGTGTGGTCGTCGACCCGACCCGGCGGCGACACATCCGGGTGGTACTTGCGAGCGAGCTGCTTGTAGGCTTGCTTGATGTCGGGTAAGGATCCGGTTTTTGGGATACCGAGAAGCTCGTAGAAGCTCAATTCGTCGGCGGAAGATAAAGGCTCGGCGACACACGCGACTTTCAGTTGGAATGAAGCGGAACGAGACGGAAGTCGAATGGAGGAAAATTTGAAGGATTTGGGGGAAGAAATTGGTGGATTTGGGAGGTAGAAGAAGCGAGAATCACTTCCTGAAACCGTTGATAACCGATTGCAGAGCATGATTTCTCTCTCTAAAAGGCTTCTCTTTCTTCTTCTTCGTTTTTCTGTGTGCTTCGCCTTCGTTCACGAGTGCGGGGTATATATACAGAGGAGGCGAAGAAGAAAAGAAGGTTCCATACGTTGATGGTTTTTGGTAATTCAGGGGAGACTCTGGTTTTTTATTTTATTTTATTTTTTTTATTTCCTGGATTTCTGTCATCATATTAGGTGGCAGTCTTTTGTCCATTTGCCACGCGGTTACTTAATTTGATAAAAATAACTAGTACAGTACCCGAGCGATGAACGGGTATAAATTAAGGTTCTTTCATATACTATCAAATGTTAAATAATCACAAAATAATTAGTTGAAGACCATATTTTTGATTTAAGTCGTCATTTCAGCTTAATGTGTATAAAATGTAAAGTATCTATAAGTTTTCAAGGCATGCAAAATATGTAGATCCATTATCAACATTATATTGTTCAGTATTATACCCCCATATTTAAATAAAGCCCACTATTTAACAATTTGACCTCTTTTAAGAATATAATCATCCTAAAATCAATGCATACTCAACATCAACAAATATTTATGTTTTATATTTCAACTCTTTACCACTTCTTCAACAATGCTGCCTTCATCTCTATCTTACCATTCATATGTCAAATTTTACTCTTTATTTTACGTCAGTCATATATAGCCCTGGAAGATTATTTCATAATTTGAGGAGGATTCTGAAAATATCAATACAATAAACAATAAAAAGTCTATGTAATCAAGAAGCTGACCTTCAAATTTAACCTATTAGTACTGGAAAAAAAGAAAGAAAGAAGAAGAAGCATCTAGTTAATCAACTCAAAGAGAAAAGACTCACCTTTCTTAATTAAAAAGCAGGCTGCAAAGCCTTGTCATCTTCCTACATGTAAATCATGTTTTGTATGTTCATAAAAAACATTGAGAAACTCAAATTAGTGGATGAGAAATTTTAGAAAGTTTTAAGCTGCAATACACTTTAAATGAAAGTTATGTGGGCAACATCATAGAATACAAACAATAAAATAGGCACAAGAGCAATGAACAAAAGCAAAAGATTGAATGACTAAAACACGCATGTAATGAAGTTATCTTTTCTTAAAGTTCCAATATATATATGGCAGCTTTTCGCCAATTTGAGCAGATATATCGGACTATTGGCAACATGGGTAAAAAATGTGGCTTTTTAAAAAAATAAAAAGAAAAACATTTATATATTCATAGGTAATGTCACTTGTCGTGCTGTCAGCAATTCCTGCTTTGTACTATGCTTTTATATATTAATAAATTTAAGAAAACACATATTTTATTTTATTTTACTTTAAACAAGTAAGGGGAAAAAACTCATCTCTAGTTTTTAACTTTAGATCATATTTTTAAATTTTATAAGGTGTTTTTTTTTTCAGTTCTATACTTTTAATATGATTAATAAAAATACTGACATTATTTATATATCGAGTTTAATTTTCAAAAAGAAAAATATTAAAATTTTATATAAAATCAGATGACCAAATGTACACCATTACCAAATTACAATGTGGCTATTGTTGTACACATATTTATGAGTTTATAAAGGTCCAGTATTGATAAATAAATCACACTGTTTTATGAGTTATTGATAATAATATAACTAATTTTAAGTTATATATACTGATCATAAAATTCGTAGTATGTTGATTAGCACAAAATTGCCTCGCCTGAGTGTGTTGAGATTATATCTCAATATTTTGCCTTTCTATCTTTGCATTGCTTCTAGAAGGTGGAAATTGCCAGTTAGGACTTGTAATTTAACACAATGAACATATATTGTATTTATATAAGGACTAGGAGTATTAATTTGGTGGGTTTGGGGCGCATTTATACATCTTATGGGAATTAGTAAAGCCTCTTGAAGTCCACCAAAAAATAATACTACTTCAATCCTTAATATAAAACCTAATTAATTGATTTGAGTAAATTATGGGTGTTAGTTAATTCATTAATATGATATTTTTTTAAAAATGATACCTTAAACATCTTACTTAATTTTCTTCCTTCCCCTCCTACTTGATTATTATTGACAAAATATCAATAAGATTAGTTTAAAAAAAATGATAAATATATGAAATAGGTTTTACATATAGGACTAACATCAACTCTCTAATTAGGTTATACATTAAGGACAGGAGGAGTACATCTAGAAGGTGGGAATTGCTAAAAAGCTTAACAAATTTATAATTAAAGTCTTATAATTAATTAATTTAAAATTTGCTCTTAAATATTATACTTATATATATATTTTTTGATAACATTGATGAGCATATTAGTAGTATATCTGAAGTTTTTGGCTTTCCATTTTTTGCATTCCTTCTAGAAGATGGGAACTTCTAATTTAATTTAATTAATGTGTATGTGTGTGTATATATATAATGAATATACCAATAGCATATCATCTCTTGATTTTTAATAATATATCTCATTTGATTTAAAAAAATTACAAATTTGAATTTTCTGCCAACTTTTTAGTTGTGCATTTTTTTTTCCCTTTTTTGTTAATCAATTTTGCATCCCCTCTAGAAGACGGGAATCTCTAAGGAGCACTGGCACCTTTAATTTAATTTAATACACATAGTACTTATTAGTGGTTATTTAATAGGTAGATGTCAGGAGTATTTACGGTTTAAACAGAAATAATAAGCAACCCAGAATGTCCCAGGGAAGTAAAACTTATAGGTAGGAGTTTCTAGTTACAGTTTGAGAATTTAAAATAAAATTCATATAATTAATCGAATTAAAATTTACTTTTTAATATTAAGATTTTAATAATATGAATTAAATTTTATTGATATAACATATATTTAATATTTCTATAGTATACATACAGTTTATGTGAACAGAAATTAAAAAAATGTCTAATAAAATAAAATTGATGAGTCATGTATTTTAAAGACAATTAGAGAGATTAAATAAGAACTTCCATAACTTATAATTATTTAAGGGAAAATTACAAAAGAAGACTTTTAAAATTATAAAGTTATTAATAAAATTACTGTCAGAAGCCGTCTTAAAAATAAATTATAAAATATAGGAAAAAAGACCAAAATACCCCACCTTTCTTTTTTTCTTCTGTCCTTTGCTTCTCTTCCTCCTTTTTCTTTACTCCTCCTCTCATTCTTCCTCTTCCTTCTCCTTTTCCCCTAACCCCACTTTCCCAGTCCTCACCCCCACCCCCACCTCCCCCACCCCGCTTCACCCCAGTGATGACTTGTGGGATTCTTGGCGATCAAGCTCCTCTAATGAAAAGGGTGGAGGAACAAGCATGGGGAGGAAGCAAGAGGGCACCCCAGACCATCCTGGAGGCGAAATAGATGGTCCGGCTGTTGAAGGCGGTGATCATGAGAAATTCAATCTAGGGGCAGGACTGATGATGCCATTAAGGCTTAGTGATCTTGACGTTTGTTTTCTGGAAATTGCCGCAGGCTCTTGCAGTGGAAACCGACAAGAGTGCTTCATATCCAGTACTTTTCTGAGACGCTCAACCACAGTTCTCGCAGTAGGTCTTTTTGATCGTTCATTTGGAAGGCAACTTGTAATTCCCTCTATATAACTTGTAATTAGAATATCTTCTACGTAACATGCAAGTATAATCGAATATGCAAGAAACTGTCCTCTAAGTAGTTGGTTGTAAAGTCCGTAATCGAGTATGCAAGAAACTGTCCTCTAACTGTCCTCTAACTAATTTATTTGATTTTCTTAATTTAATTAAATTAGTTAAATAAACTTTATATTAAAGACAGTGGGAGTATTAAGTTTGAAACGTTGATCCCGTCCCATCGTTTATTGATTAAAATCACTTTGCCGCTCGCGGAATGCTCCACGTTTGAGAAATTAATTATAGCCCGAGTAAGCATGAAAAATTGCATGGTTGAGCCTGGAGAGAGCGAAATTTTGGTGCTAATCCCCAAAAAAATTCGACCTAAGACCTGGGCTAGCGTGAATGCCTTATCTGAAATTCTGAATACCCTTATCTCATGAGCACAAATGTTGCCTTTACCTTGTTTTTTTTTTTTTTTTTCCAGAATCTATTTGGTTCTGGCGCGCTAAGGGAGGGAGGAAAGAGTAGGGTCGGTTTTATCCTCACCTTATTTGGTTTGATTAAAAGAGAAGGAAATGAGAGATATTTAATGATCCCTTATTTGGTTCAAGAGGGGGAGGAGAGGGGAAGGATAATAATAATCAATTTATTATTTTACCCTTACATATTAGTTGATATTTTTTTATGGATATATTATATAAATTAATTTACATCTTAATTTAGATTATATAATTTTAATAAAAATTCAGTCTTATCATGTAATATGTGCATTAAAAAATTGGTACAGTCTTTTTTAATTCTAATTAATATAATAATATATTTGAAATAATCAAATCAACAAATTTTATATGCCCTAAAAAATTAAAATTTTATTCTCTTTAGGCTATGCTTTTTTTTTCAGCTTTAAAATTTCTTTAATGAATAAGATATTTATAAAAAAACAATTAATTTTATAATATTATAATTTTTTATTTAAATAATTTTTTAACTTATTTTTATTATAATATATATTTAATTATAATAATTTATATTTTTTAATTTTTACTTAGGATAATATATTTTTTATTTAAAATAAATATTATAGTAATATATTTTATGGGTAGTAGTGAAATATAAAAAAAATCATAAAGATATGATGATCCAAAACTTTAGCTCCCTTCCAAAAACCCCCATTTTGGGGGAGGGGGGGAGCTAAAATGGGGGTAGGAGAGGGAGCAGAGGGAATATTTTGGCTTCCTTCCCCCCCAAAATTTTTAACCAAACGAGGGAAAGGGCTCATTTTCCCTTTCTTTTCCCACCCTTCCCTCCAACCAAACAAGCTTGTAAGGAACAAAGAGCGACATCCAAATTTTTTTTTGGTTTACATCTTTTTCCTTCTTTGTAGAAGTTAAGAATTGGGATGACGAAAATAAAAGAAATAAAAGTAGGAATTGGTAGTTGACATCCATTTTTTTAGGCCCTTGGGTGTT